GATGTTTATATTTTTATATGCATATAAATTAGATAAATTTAATAAACTTATGTTTAAAAAATCTTTAAAATAAACTTGCTTAGGCCCTATACTTTTGATGGCAACTTCTTGAATCTGCAATCCCATACGTTTTTTTTTTTTTTTTTACAAATAAAGCCATTGTTTAAAAACATGAATATGTGAATAAAAAGTAAACACTGTAACAGGGCACTCAGTAATCTGGTAATTTCATGCGCACTGATAATCATATTTACGAAATACTGTGAAAATAGTTTTTGTTATGACTTTTTTCACTTGATTTAGTCTAGTTAGTTCTGTATCAAATACAATGTGATTTAAACATTTTTTTCCTCTTGGGTGAGCTATTCTCGTACAGCTTCCCCTATGCACGAAATCCCACATTTTCCTGGAAACCAATGAGAACGCGGGACAATAATGACGATACATAAGCTGTGGGTCTTCTTACCCAAACCCTCTGTAACTGGCAGATGTGAAGGAAAATTACAGTCACAATTTATAAATAAATGATAGTTACTTATGTATTGCCAACAATTTATCATGTAAGCGTTATGGTACACCATAGTACACATGGTGTATAGTACAGAAGTTTAAAATATTTATTTATACATAAAACGTGTTCGTTATTTGGAGCTTGACTTTATAAATCACCATCCACTTGGATTTTATAGAAAAGATCTGCTTGGACTTTTTCTCATGTGATTATAGTGTCATAGTTCAAAAAAAAAAAAAAAAACGGAATGGCAGGAAGGTGATTTAAATGACAATTTTCGTTGTTAGGTGAGTGGTTCCTTTAAGAGGCATCTCCCACAGGCACTCACAAGGAAGATGCACGTGATTATGCTCTCAAGGAGGTGTCACTCTACTGTTTACAAAAGCTTCAAAAGGCTCAAGACGAGCTGGAGTGAGAAACTGGTGCATTTGTTGTCGGGCAGCATCTTGAAGAGCCTCAACATGCCAGCCATCTCCAGCCTGAGCCTTTTGTTGCCAAGCGTGCAGAGCTCCTGTTGCTAAAGGAAGTACTTAAATGTGTAGTTATGTGAGATCCCTCCTCGCTGAAGCCAGCCCCCTGCTGCTTCTTCCTGCTCCTTGGCTGAATATGAAGTGTTGCTTGATGGGCTTTTCCCCTCTGACAGTGTCACAAGAGGAGTGACAGATCCGTGGGAGAGCTGACCCACCTCCCAGAGGAAGTGCTGGGAGCCAGGGGTGGCCCATTCAGTGCCCAAAGGCCACTCTCTTCTAATGGAACATGATAAGCTTTTCATGAGGCACTGTGCAGTGCTGCTTTTGTGCGCCCATGTCTCCGTGGGCTCGGTGCATCAGTGGCGTCATGGCCTTGCTCTGAGTTCATGGGAACATAAATTGTGTTATTGAGAACCACACCTAGTTAAGGTTACCTTCAATGGCTTTCTTGGCTGGTATGTGTGAAAACAACAACCAGACCTTGTTAATGACAGTCAATCCAGTCAGATAAAATAACTTTGGATTGTTGTTATACTGATTATAGATGGCCAACATTAAGTATTAAGGGCCAATCCCAATTCTACCCCTTACCCCTTCCCTTTCCCCTAGCCCTACCCCTTCGCCTTCCCCTTGACCCTTGAAACAGAGTGGCAATGCGTAGGGCTGAAAATATTCCCCTAAGAAATGGGACACCACTACGCCTCCGTTAAACGTCATTATAAGTCGTCGCTAGCGCCTACGTCACAGGATATGCGCCGATGTTTATCACAACTTCCAAGATCCCGTCGACAGCTGCAGTTACGTGGCGTGGGTTACAGCTATTTTCTTGCATCTTGTGAAGTTCGCAGGAAACAACGAAAATGACGACGAAAATATGTTGCGGGACTGTCTATCGTTAGCAAACTACAGTAATTTTAGCGATTTTTTTTACAAACGTTTCTGTGAAGAAACTGACCGTAAATATGAACACAATATTAAATGTAACATAAAGCAAATCATTATTTGTCGTTATAATACTTATTAAAGCCACAAATACTTAAATTTATGGGTCTCCTTTGTCGCTTGGGCAGCCAGCCTGGGTTAGCAGTGACACTTCTCATACCCCTTCGTTTGAAGTGTGCTCCCGAAAAATCTTCGTTTGAAGGGCTATCTGGCCCTTCACCCTAGCCCTCCCCCTCCAACCAAAAGAGAATTGGGACAGCCCTACCCCTTCACGTGGACGCGCAAAACGGAGGGGAAGGGGAAAGTGAAGGGGTAAGGGGTAGAATTGGGATTGGCCCTAAGTTAACGTTGTCATGAAATCTGTCTTGCAATTGCATGGTATTGATGAAGTGGACCAAGTCCCTCGCCAGGTTTTTGTTTTTGATTATCTGTTACACTCCATTCAAATTATTTAACCAATCAGTCATACCCTTGATCAGCTTTACCAAACGTGGATGTTTTTCCACTAAGAAACGAACATTGTTATTATGTTTTGATGGATATTATGCAGCTGCTTTGATGCAATCTGTATTGCGAAATGCGCTATATAAATATACTTGACTTGACTCCGAGTCTGATCATAGCATCACAATACGGAAGAAAAGATCTCCCTCAAAAATTCTGCATCAACGCAAATTTTAAGAAAGTTATATACTTTAAAGAAGTCAATAGCTAAGGATGTCTTCATACTCTGCAAGTTTGGTTCGATTAAAGCGAACCCTGGTGTGATTGCTCTGTTAGTGCAGTTCATTTGAATGAGTGTGAATACTGCCATCTGAAACCCTGGTGCGCACCAAACAAGCTGACCGCTGAAAGGTGGGTCTCTGTCCGCTTCCAAATGAACTAGTGTGGCTCGAATGATATATGAACACATCACGGACAAAAGACGTGTAAAAAAACCAAAAACAGGAAGATGAGACCCTAAAAAGGGTGATGCATGTGAGTGAGTTGCATGTATGTATGTGAGGTTATACACTCACCTAAAGGATTATTGGGAACACCATACTAATACTGTTTGACCCCCTTTCGCCTTCAGAACAGCCTTAATTATGCGTGGCATTGATTCAACAAGGTGTTGAAAGCATTCTTTAGAAATGTTGGCCCATATTGATAGGATAGCATCTTGCAGTTGATGGAGATTTGTGGGATGCACATCCAGGGCACGAAGCTCCCGTTCCACCACATCCAAAAGATGCTCTATTGGGTTGAGATCTGGTGACTGTGGGCCATTTTAGTGCAGTGTACATTGTCATTTTAGTACATTGTGATGTTAAATGATTCGAGCTTTGTGACATGGTGCATTATCGTACTGGAAGTAGCCATCAGAAGATGGGTACGTGGTGGCGATAAAAGGATGGAGATGGTCAGAAACAATGCTTAGGTAGGCCGTGGCATTTAAACAATGCCCAATTGGCACTAAGGGGCCTAAAGTGTGCCAGGAAAACATTCCCCACACAATTACACCACCACCACCAGCCAGTGGTGGTAACAAGGCATGATGGATCCATGTTCTCATTCTGTTTACGCCAAATTCTGACAGAAATCGAGACTCATCAGACCAGGCAACATTTTTTCAGTCTTCAACTGTCTAATTTTGGTGAGCTCTTGCAAAATTGTAGCCTCTTTTTTCCTATTTGTAGTGGAGATGAGTGTTACCCTGTGGGGTCTTCTGCTGTTTTAGCCCATCTGCCTCAAGGTTGAGCGTGTTGTGGCTTCACAAATGCTTTGCTGCATACCTCGGTTGTAGCGAGTGGTTATTTCAGTCAAAGTTGCTCTTCTATCAGCTTGAATCAGTCAGCCCATTCTCCTCTGACCTCTAGCATCATCAAAGCATTTTCGCCCACAGGACTGCCGCATACTGCATGTTTTTCCCTTTTCACACCATTCTTTGTTAACCATGAAATGTCCCAGTAACTGAGCAGATTGTGAAATACTCAGACCGGCCCGTCTGGCACCAAAAACCATGCCACACTCAAAATTACTTAAATCACCTTTCTTTCCCATTTTGACATTCAGTTTGGAGTTCAGGAGATTGTCTTGACCAGGACCACACCCTTAAATGCATTAAAGCAACTGCCATGTGATTGGATGATTAGATACTTGCATTAATGAGAAATTGAAAAGGTGTTCCTAATAATCCTTTAGGTGAGTGAATGTTGGCAGATATCAGTCTCAGACATCATTGTATGAAGAGGAGCTTGGTATGTGTGGTTTTCATGCTCGTGTTTGTACTGCAGAGGCCACGGGATGTCATGTCGTTCAGTGATTCAGACTATTTGCATGCTGTTAAAAAGACTGGTTTGGGGAGGATGCTTTTCTCTATAATAATGTCCAGACAGGGTGTACCGGTAGGTGGTTTGTTGCCTTTTTTTTTGTCTTTTGTTTGTTTGTTTTGTGTGTGTGCATGTTTCTACATGCTGAGAGATGCGTGCAGAAGTACAGTACATGCACACTTTCTCAGAAGGCTCACTGCCCTGCGGCACAAGGCTTCAAGTCCCCCATTTCCTGTTTACAGTGTCTGAGGTTTCCTGTTCTCAGTGCATCTCCACTGGGTGATCTTGCGATTGTACTCTGGACAAGGCCTATGTTAAAAATAAAACACCTCTTTTTCATTCTTTCATCAAAAATCTGCTCATTTATGTCAGTTTTGTTTAAAATGTAATTTATTCCTATATTGTTGAAATCAGTTGTGCTGCTGTTTCTGTGGAAACCATAATATTTTTATTCATAATTCTTCAATGAATGAACGTTTTAAAACAGAATTAATTGGAAATAGAAATCTTTTGTCTCACAATACATTTTTTTTAAATTTAAGTAAACTTTTTTTTTTAACTGACCTCAAAAGTGTTTTTACTGACTTCATTGTATCTTGTATCTATCTATGTATCTATTTTTCTGTTGTATCACTGTATCTATTTTTCTTAAAACAGTGTACATCCCAAAATATAACGTGTACTATAATGTATATTCTATGTGTACATGCATAAAGAATTTTTTCTTGTCTTATGTATGTTTTTTTTTCTTTTCCTTTTCTTTAGGTTTGAAGAGATAGTCAAGAAATTCAAGGTTGAATATCACGCTGGAGGTGCCACTCAGAACTCTATAAAAGTTGCACAGGTCGGTCCTCAAAGCTACAGGCAATATTTAATGCATGCAATGCTAGCAACAACAAGGTCATGAATACCCAAGAAATGCATGAACAGATAAAATATATAGCTTGAATGCAATGTTGCTGCTTTGGATTAAAAAAAACTACATGAATGTAATACATTATGCACTGCTCCTTCAGATGGACAGGAACAAATGGGTGTACCTAAAATTAAATATTTTTTGGCTGTAAATAATGCATAAGATCACAACAAACACAAAACATATTTTTAGCTATCTGCAATCTTCTTCGGTAGATTTGGATGTTTATGTCTCTGTTCCTTTTTTCATTTTTTTGTTAGCGTTAAATATAAATTCCATGTTTATTTATTGATTTAAATACAATTTGTGTTAATTCATTGATTTATCTTTTATTTTGAATTTATTTTATCAAAAACACTTTAAGCTACATGCGTTCACACTTGCATATTAGAGATTTATGAGAGCTGTTGGTCACTTTGGTTCTGCAGTGACAGTGAGTTCAACTAAGTAAACAGAGGCCTATAATAGAAAATTATGAAACATTTTGGTGTAACAATACATTATATCGAGATGTGACTCATCGTTCATGTGAACAATATGATTCATGATATAGAGTTAATTTTATTAAAGGCTCATACGTGGAGTATTTATAAGTATAATTTACCCAAAAATATAAACTGTCATCATGTGACAGTTTATATGATGACATCTTCTTTCAAACCTAGATTTTTGTTGAACTTCCAAACACAAATGAAGATATTATTTTATGAAACCTGAGATATGTCTGTCCCTCCATTTAAAGTCCGTTCCTCTAAAACTTAAAAGATCCAAAAAATGTCATATAGTCATTGTAAAAAGAACAATCGAATGGTCTAATCCAAATCCAAGTCTTCTGATGAGACACAATGGCTTTATATAATGAACAGATTGACAATGACAGCCATACTGTAGTAGCCTTAACATAGACATTCAAATGCTTGCATGATGGGCGTAAACGAACCGTTCATCAAAAAAGGCTACATTTGAAACGAGTACTGCATGAGACAAAAATGTAACTTTACGGAGTTTCAGTGACATTTACTACATAAAGCTACTGTTATATGATGTGATACGGTAATATTTGTGGAACCTGATAATTATAAAATAAAAATAAAGTAATACATTTTGGCTTAAAATATTGCGATTGTTTGGTAAAACGATTTGTATCAACTCATGACCTGAGTCTATCGTTACACCCCTAGAAACGGATAAATTTAGTCACTTTTGGTGAAGTTTTACCTTGAGCTCTAGTTGATTTCCGGCATGTATGGCTATGCCATAAGTAATGTACCATAAAACCATCAAATTTTTGTGAGAATAGGTAAGATTTGTGCACAATAATTATTTTACTGCTTAACTTTTAAAAACCTGCTGCATGCTGTGTATCTTTATTTTGTTTGTTAAGATTCCATGTTCACACTAGTTTTGCAGGTTTATATTTGTTACATCAGGCACAGCAAGATTTAATGTTGGATGCATCTTCCTGATTTATAGCCCAACAGAGAAACCGATACCTTCACTTTTTTTGCTGGCCTAGTTTGCAGCCATTCTTGGGTTAGAGCATTTCCAGAAAGTCTGAATAATGTTTTTCCCTTTTTCAAGCTCGTTCCTATTATTCCCAAGAAATGATGCTTCAAGTCTGAGTAGGATATTTTATTTGTGTGATGTTGTTTATGGGTAACAACAGAAATAATCTGAAGCCCCTGATGGTCCAGTTGGGTGCTGTCACAGCAGAGAATGAGATCTGCTCAAATTTCCTTGTTGCCCTCAGGGCCCAACTAGACTAGAGTTTGAGTCGTTCAGCACATGCCCAGTACCGCTGTGTACTTTTGCAGGTGTCTGCAGACATCAACACTTTTAAGACCTCAGATACAGGAGTTATTTAGATATAGATCATCTAAATAGACATATGGAATTTTCTGATGATCTCCAGATGATGCACTGCATCCAAATCCACAGATGCATTAGGCTGCAGAGGCTTTCACACGCAATGCATCTATCACCATGAAATACAGACCTCGGTGTGTGATGAGGTAAGACTGTGGATAATCATTTGGGAAACTGCCAGTGCAAGCAAATGTGATTTCATTACTTCAGTGTCTCACTCCTTGTGTTGTCGGGCACATTTGTTATGACCCGAATGCAGCCCGAAAGGACTTACAGAAATGATTCTTCATTTAAGGCTTTCTTGTTCTGCTGTGTTCCAACATTTATTTTGCTTAACAGGATTTGCTGTAAACGTCCTTGTGAGGATGTCTGCGTTATCTTCCAGCTCTTCACCTGCAGTTGCAGATAACAGAGTCAGGGCGGTTAAAGTTGTGCCCATTTTAAGCAACGGTAGTTACGAAGGCTCCCAGTGATATGTGGGTTGTTAAGCAGCAGTTTGATCAGACAGCTCTTCAAAGCTGGCTCGCTTAAGAAGGGAAGCTTGATGTGGAACCAGGCCTCTGAGATTAACACATGGCAGCACCTGGAACGCCAGGAGCAATGCAACCTGTGTCGATGTCGCTGAAAACGAGAGCTTTCAAATGCAATGACATGGGTTGCCTTGTGTGCGTACATCAAAGCACCCATGTGCAGATGAGGTGCTCCAATCGAAGGCTGTTCTCAGCCTCAGGCACTGCTTGGCAGACGTGGGAGGGAGCATGTTCCGCTCCCAATACCTGACCAAGGTAGGTAGACCATTTACACAGGAGCAACCAGTCATTGGAGAGGCAGAGCTATCTTGTTCCCTCTGCATCACCTTTTCTCTCTTCTCCCCTGCTTTTCCTGAGACCATGAAATCGAACCGATCACCATTTCTTTGCCTACTTATCTTTTATCCTTTCTCATCCTTTCAGTTGTACAATACACAGCAAAAACACATTCCACAAAGCATCTTTCAGTGCTCAGTCACTCATAGTTGACCTATAAATGAAAAGTCTGTCATCATCACTTACTTGCCTTCATGTAGAAAGTTGGAACACTGGCATTGTCAGGCTTGGAAATGGCAAAAAAAAAAACAAATTGTGCAGTATGTTCATTGAAAATCAAAACCGGCCTACAGTAGATCTCCTTCACAACAGTTTATGAGACACTCGTCTCGAGTAGAGGCGCCCGATTCGTTTTTGGGTTTTTTACAATTACGAGTAATTTAATCTTTCAATCTCAAAACCAGAATATCCATTTTAAAGGAGTAGTTCACCCAAAATGTTTTATTTTGTTCATTACTTACTCACCCTCAAGTTGTTCTAAACCTGTATGAATAATGAATATATAAAGAATATAAAAGAATGCTGGTAACCAGACAGTTGACCGTACCCATTTTAGGAAAATAAATACTATGGATGTCATTGGGTGCCGTCAACTGTCTGGCTACTCGCATTCCTTAAAATGTTTTCTTTTGTGTTCAACAGAAGAATGAAACTCATACAGGTTTGGAACAACGTGAGGGTGAGTAAATGATGACACAATTTTCATTTTTGGGTGAACTATCCCTTTAAGTCAATGATCACAATGGTTAATATTGATGATGAATCTACTAGTTATTAGTGATTTACAACAAGTACCTTTCAACTGTTTGTCACACAGAGCTATCAAATGGCTTTGGAAAATATAGGAATGAAACTTGAAATTATATTTTTATGATGCTTTTACATCCTATTTGAAAACTTATTGCAACTGTATGGAAAAGAGCAACAAGCACATTCTTCAATTTCTCTGTTTGTTTTGCACGGAAGAAAGTCATATGTGTTTGGAACAGCATAAGGGGGAATAAATTATGACAGAATATTTATTTTGTGTGAACTATCCCTTTAAGGCACTGTTACCACATACATTCCTCATCCTTCTATAAAGCCTAGGACGTCAATATAAATCTATTAATGGTTCAGCTCTAAGCCTCCCCGTATGGTTCTTTTGATGTGTCTGAATTGGTAAATTTGTGCAGGAGACATATAGTCTTAGTCTGACAGGCACCATTCTGCCCCACAGGATTTTCACAGATGAAGACTCTCACCTGCAGAAAGTAACGATCTTCCATTCTCTTTATATAGCACTGCAAAGAGAACGAACCAGCACTGCTCTACAGCCACAGACATCAAAGCCGGGGCAGAGAATCACACTCTGCTCCACTGTATATACAATGTTCCCCAAGCATTCTTCTGCACTGTGATCCAAGACTCGGCTCCATTACATGTGCACCCCTGGTGTGGCCCCTTGAGCAACGAAGAGTTTGAGAGGGGAAGAGGCTGACACTTACCAACAGAGAGAGCAGTTGTTAGGTGCTACCTCCATAGGGAGGTTAAATTACTCCTCTAGTGCTCAGTAGGCCTACAGCTTTGAACAGTTGCCACTTTTAAGCACATAGTGTTGCAGGAAGATATCGAAAAGAGGCTGATTGTCTAAAGCTTGATGGGGTTTTTTTCCAGAGCTAATTCTAAAATCTTAAGAGTAATGTTGTTGGTGTTTAAGCCCAAAGAAAAATGACTTTCTTTATCCTGAACACAAAAGAACATTCTATGATATATACAATATATATATATACACAATGGAAGTCAATGGTCACCAAAACTAACATTCTTCAAAATGTCTCCTGTTGGGTTCCATAGAAGAAAATCATACAGGTTTGGAATTACATGTGAGTAAATGAAGACAGAATTAAAATTTTTGTGTGGACAAAAGCAAGAGGATATCTTTGCTTCTGCAACCCCCCCAACTTCTGTTCTTTTTTCCATTTGTCGCTGGCCCATGATGCCTTCACAGACTCTTTTTTTTCAAAGTGGTGAGGGGGCCCAACCTTGGACTCAAACTGGACTCTTTTATTGGAAACACATGTGCACTCTGTAGTTGGAACTCCTCTGTGAAGAAAATCACTTAGCTCTCTTCAACACACAAAGGCCTTTCCCAGTTCATATTTTTTTGCATGGAAACTTAAATTGGGGAAAAGCTGGTGCCTAGAACCAGACATC